AGTTGTGATTTTTCAAGATTGATCTACTAAAGGTAATTCCACTGCTTCAAACTCGTTTATTATGAGTAGTTAGAAGTATTTGAAGCATTTATTACAAGTTTTAATGGTTGAAATATTGGATTATAAAACTCTAGTTCATGGCACGAATAGTACTTTTGAGAAAATAAGAGAGAAGATAGAATGGTAATCTTGGCGATGAAATTTATGAATACAATGAACCTATGGAATTTGTTACTAATATTGGTCTCATTGGATGTTGTTATTTTTTTTATTGAAGTTGCTTAGTGTAGTGAATCGTTGTAGTATTATTAAGGGATGAATTTGAGGTATGTTGGCTAAACTCCTCTCCTAGAATTGAATCCCATGGTATTCATGTAATTTATATAAGTCCCGAATTGTTCGTTATGAAAGTGGCTATTCTGAATAAACTTATGTTGAAATATATATGTTCAATATGTATCCCAAAATGCTTTTATCATGTTATGTTATCAATTGAGAATATATTCAAAGTATGGCTTGTGCATTAATAATGTTGCGACTTCAAGTCAAGTTCAAACGAAGGCTATTATGCCAAATTTTGTGAAACATATCTATGTGCCTAAGACTCTCAATTGCTCATATGTGTACTACAAATCTTGAATTGAATTGTTGTTGTTGTTGATGATGATGATGATGTTTGAAAGTGAAAAAGTTGAGCATGAATTACTAAATACGACTGACGTGCCAAGAATGATTTTTTTTCTAATTGTTGCCACTAGTGCCAATAAAATGAAAATATGGGAAAGAAGTATGAAATGAGATGATTGGTATAAAAAGTTTGATGTCTCGAATGAGACGGCCTAGCCGATCGGGTCGTGATCGGACACCATGCCGCACACATGGTGGTGATTGTGCTGGAAATTATGATTTTGATTGATGTATCAAAATAAGATGGCCTAGCCGATTGGGTCGTGATCGGATTCCGTGCTAAAAGTACGATGGTATTGGTATTATGAATATTGATATCGTGAATGGTGGCATACGGGTACTAAAGACCTCCCAACTTAAGATATGGAAATTTATTTGAACATTGTCTTGATCCTAATTTGAGGTTTGATGTTGTTTGAGACTTCCACTGATATTATGATTGTTCTTACTTGTATTATCAATTGTTCTATTGAGAGGGTGTTTTGTCACTCATAATAGTACTATTTCACATGTACTAACGTCCCTTTTTGCTGGGAGCGCTGCATCTTCAATGGATGCAGGTGGTTCCACAGCAGGAGACACTGATCAGTGATAGCGGTACACCCTCTTCCTAGCAGACTTGGTGAGCCCCACTTTATTTCGGGGTCATGTATATTTTGTTCATTGTGTATTATGTTTAAGGTATAGCCGGGGCCTTGTTGCTGATATTATCATAATACTCTTCTGTATCTATTAGAGGCTTTGTAAACATAGTGTGGGTTGTATACTAGTTTTGGGAAAGTCAAACTAGTTATGTTGTGCTTGGATTGTTTGTTCCACTACAGACTTTGAAAAACGTGTGTGAAAGTTGAGACTTTAAAATGATGAAACTATTGAAAATGAATTGGTATTGTAGACATGATCACCGTATTGTCTAATTAACAAAAATATGTGTTCTCTTTATTCAAGGACGAGTTTGGGTAGAAGGAATCTAATAGGATTGCTCGGCCGGGTTTACTCGGTTGAGCGCCGGTCGCGCTTCCCGAGTTCAGAGCGTGACACGTGTATGGAGGGAAGGGCTTCTAGATAAATTTCTGGGAGTCCAGCCCCTTTAATATCGGGGGTGCTCCCGGGATCTGATCGACCCTGAAATTGTATGTTTCCACCTTCTTGTCATTAGCCTCAATCTTTTTCTCACCCGAATCCACCTGTTTAGGCAACGCTTCGAACATTTTCATTACCTCAAGATTTACCCCGGGCTCGGCTTCACCCGGTCTCTCGATAATTTGTTCGTCTCTTCGGGTGCTTTCCCGGGATTGTTCGGGCTCGACCCTGTTGGAGGGCGTGACTTTGATTCTGCAGTTGTGTTATTGCCGCTTGTTGAGCCTGCAGCATTTTGAAAATCAGTCGTAGGCTCACCCCATCACCTGCACCTTCGGGTGCTTCTCGAACTGTTGGTCGGGGTCTCCCGCGAACACTATTTTTGGGATCAGTTGGCAATTTGATATTAATGGCCACTTGCGAGTTATCATTGATCGAATCGGCAGTGATGGCCAAACTCAGCGTCTACATTCAAGTGAGCAGATTGAGAGTTTGACATTTTTGGGCTGGCCTAAAATTAAGATTTCAAAGAGCAGGCGTAAAATAGGGTGTGTTATGGAGATCGTATCAAATCACCACTATTATCCTTTGCCCCACGGTGGGCGCCAAACTATTTATCCTAAAATTAGATAATAATTAAATTTGTACGCGATTTAAATGATGCGTGATTTAATTCAACACGATTAATTAAGAATAATATATAAATGAATTAAAGACGAAATAAACTATTAAAGCAATCGCAATGATATGATTAAGCCTGATCTTAGATTGAATAGCAACCTCGTCCTCGGTTCGAGCCTAGTCGTGAATGAAGAACAACTTCCCCTTTATATAGTACAAGTGAGCAAAGTTCTTAACAGTAGCTAGAAGATAAAAATAAATTTTTATTGCCTTGAATTGCGTGTTACCATATGTTAGATTAAAGAAAAAAATTTCATTTATATATTAGGAGAATTTCAGTCCTAGTACAAGTCTAAAAAAATGTAAAAATCTTCTTTTGCCGGTAATTATTGATCCATAATCGACATCGAGCGAGATTCGCACCGTGATATCCGATTGAGGGTAAGTTTGTGGGCCCCTATTAGTCGTGCATAACCGTCCACCGCGTTTCCCGAGGTCTAGAAGTCATACTCGATCCAGGGTGCATCGTTTTACCGCGTCTGATGTTGGATATATCGTTCATCATTTCCGAGTCTCGACGTGTCTCTGGCCCCATTTACAATCTCGCGGATCTGTGTTCCCTCCTTTGTTCTTTCATCGGGAAATCGGGATAGACATTGCCCCCGATTTTATCCATACACATTAATAATTGTGAAAAATGATGAATAGTTATGGAGTTTAAAGAAGGATGCCGGGTCCTCTAATGTGCTAAATGATTACTTGACCAATAATTAGTCTCGTCCTAATTAAGGACTAACTGGTCTAAGTTATAAAACCATCATGATGATTATTAAAAGAAATTGTTGATGAATGATCGATTTTATATGAATCATACCATTAAATATAAATAATAATTTTAAAGTAATGACCAACCGGTTGATCCTTAGATTTCTGATTAATACAACTGATTTATTTGAAAAGTGCTTAACTCGGATGATTAAAAAATTCAAACAGAAAATGCTCTCAAATTTTACTTTTCATTCTCGTGGATCAAGGTTCAATTCTAACTTGATCCTTAGATTTCTAACCACCTCTTTATCTTGGGCACCTCACCCTCATAATTATCATAAACAAAAGAGGAATCATTATCAATGTAAAAATTTCACGGGTCACCTCATTTAATCTATACCCACTTTTTAAAAAAATTTAATTTGTACTCGCTTTTTAAACAACTTCAGGCATCTTTCTCCTCCTCCTTCTCCTCCTTCGTTTTCTTCTTCTCCTTCTTCTTCTTCTTCTTCTTCTTCTTCTTCTTCGGGTGACAATAATTTTATATGATGGTTATGAACATATTTTAATGTAGTTTATGATGTCTTACAATAGTGAGCTGTTATGATGCTTTATTTTTTGCTATTGCTTAGGGTTTCTTCTTCTTCTTTTTCTTAATTGCAAAATGTGTTCATTAGATTTATTGTTGTTTTGACAAATTGATGATTGGGGTTTGTTCCTGATGATATTTGGAGGTTATGTTTCAAATTTGAGCTCATTTGGAGTAGATTTAAGTATTAAATTGTAAATTGGATTGTTATAATTCGAAGAACAAATTTCTGTTTCTAGGCAATTTGCACTTCAGGCATATTTGGCCTTAAGTGCATAAAAACGTTGGTCGCACTTCAGACCTTTTGGCCTTAAGTGCATCTGAAGTGTAAATTTTCACTTCAGACTTATTGGCCTTTAGTGCATCTGAAGTGCAATTTTTCACTTCAGACTTATTAGTCATTGGTTGCACTTCAGAGCTGAAGTTTGTGTGCAGACTTAGAACTCCAGCTCTAAGAATGCTGAAGTTCAGAAAATATAAACAAAAACTCCAGCTCCTAGAATGCTGAAATTCAGCAAATACAAAATAAACTTCAGCCCTAGAATGCTGAAGTTCAGCAATTACAAAACAAACTTCAACTCCTAGAATGCTGAAGTTCAGCAATTACAAAACAAAAATTTCAGCCAAAACATATTGTAGTTTTATTGATTAAAATGATTAAAATGTATAAACTATTTAAAATTTAAAAAAAGATATTATAATATATATATATAAGTAATTATTAAATTTTGTATATAATTTATTGGTTTGGTTCGATTTCTTTTTTGGTTTTTTTATAATGGAACTAAAACCAAACCAAATGTTAACGATTTCTAAAATTTAAAACAAAAACTAATCTAAATCAAAAACTAAGTCTGTTTACTTAATCGGTTTTTCGTGAAACTGTGAACAGCCCTAAAATTAAGAAGTACTACTAACAAAAGAAAATTGGATGGTATGAGTAATTATTACTAAAAATTCAAGATGTCAAAGGTCAATCTACATTCCCACACACAGCTTCGTCCTACGTGGAATTAAGTCATTGGTTAAAGAAACAAGCAACTCAATAATTAGCTGCTACTATCAACGTGGGATCTATATTCTGCGTGTAGCTCCCATTACCTGGCAAATTAGCGGTCGGCCCTTCACCGTTAGATTCCCTAATCGAACGGTGGACATGCCCTGCCAACGTCATCTTACATCAATGAAAAAGGTAACAGGCTGTGACTCACAGCTACCTTCCTTAACTGAACACAACATTCTACTTCTATTTTAAAATAATTTTAAAAACTGGACGATCTTTGGCAGCACAGAAGTATTTTTCAGTGTGTTAAATTCTCAATCCTTTTTATTGATACTTTAAAGTTTTTGGTGAACCTAGGGTTTCGAGGTTCCTTCAGTTTTTTCTTTCAATGGCTTCTATCTCTCATAGAGGCGGTGATTTCTACGGTGCTGCTTCCCACAGATCCAGGTATCTATGAAAAACGGAAAAAAAAATTATCGTCTTCTTAAATTATAATTTGTTATTGTCTAATTGCTTGCACAATTTGAATTGTGATAGAGAAGTGTTATGTAACAAAAAATTACCAAAAGTATAACCTAATTAGGAGAAAATTAACAGAAATACACTTTTTTGCATTTTTTGGGTTAATTTTTGAGAAATTGAGTTGTTTTCTTTTGTTGTTTGATTGATCAGAGATGGATTGAGTACGAGGCAAGTAGGTGGTTCAGATGAGATACAGGTGCGGATTGATCCGATGCACGGAGACCTAGATAACGAGATTACAGGTCTTCGCAAGCAAGTGAAACAGCTTAGAAATGTATGTTTACCTATCACCTTGTCTGTGGCTCTATATTTTAGTATCTTGTATTTTTTGTTGGAGGATATTTTTTTTGCATAACCGGTGGCGTCTTTAATATGTATGTACATGTCAAATTTGGTGATGTGTTATGTCATGGATCCATTTTAAATAAGGTGATGTGTTGTGTTGGGACACTAATAACAATATTTCTTAGAAAACATTGTGAAACTTGTTAGGCATAGAGGTTGAAGATAGTTGAAGTCTCTTCCATGAACAAACGAAAGTGTAATGACAATACAGCATTCAGGATTCAACTAAACCACACAATGTTGCATTCAGGAATGTTGCTCTCTATCCTTTAATTTAGGATTTTACCTTAGAATTGGGAACGGAAATGTATATTTTACTTTTACCATTAATTTTTCGTATCGTACTGGATTGTTAAAGTTGTTAATCAACCCAAGATTGTCGCTTAGTGGTCAATGAAGTGAGTTCAAACCTTGGAGCTAGGGTTCTAGTCCCCGCAGAGACACAAAAATACTAAGTTATTTATTTCCGTATGCCTAAGCCTTGGCAAGTAGAGTTACCCGATACTTGTGCCAATTGGAGGTAGCAGGTACTCGGTGAAATGGCTGAGGTGTGCACAAGTTGGCCCACACACTCTATTATGAGAAAGATGTTAATTCACTCTTTGGAGTAATCTTAAGCCTAAATCCCTTCTTTTCTGGTCTAAATCAACTTGGCCCAAAAAATATTGATTTCTGAATTTGCGCTCAACATTGAGGTTATATCTTTTACTTCTGCTGATGTAATACGACTTCCCATTTTTCATAGTCGACTGCCAAGTTGGCCCACACACTCTGTTATGAGAAAGATGTTAATTCACTCTTTGGAGTAATCTTAAGCCTAAATCCCTTCTTTTCTGGTCTAAATCAACTTGGCCCAAAAAATATTGATTTCTGAATTTGCGCTCAACATTGAGGTTATATCTTTTACTTCTGCTGATGTAATACGACTTCCCATTTTTCATAGTCGACTGCCAATGTAGTCTTCTTGATCTCCCGGCTATCTGGTGAGTACATTGATGCCTGGACACACGCTAATACCGAAAAGCTGCAAATGGCACCAAAAGACATGGCTAGTGTGATGCTTCTCTGTCTCCAGTTTAAGTTGGATTCGATGTGTGCCTAACTGTTGCTGTCCCGATAAGGTATTAGGAACGATCACTTCTTGACTTGATCTTATTTGAAGAAGGTAAGAAAATTAACCATCTGATTGTCACTTGCATATTTCGGCAGTAGAACAAAGACATCATCTCTCTACCTCCCACTGTCCCCTTTTCTTGTATCTAGCACTGGCACTGATTGTTGACCTCCACATGCAGATGTGTTAATAATTGCAATGTCTTAGATTGAATTTTCAAGCAGCACTAAAGTTTTGTATTTCTAGTTGAACATTTCTTTGGGTGTAAGTCCTGTTGTAGGAGTCCCGGAATATCTTTATACTATATGTTCCTTATAGGTCATCTTTTCCAATGACTCATTTGTTGGCCTTACTTGTTTCATCTTTGTCAGGGTTTCAGATTTTTATTCCTACTTACCCTTTGCTAGTACTTATAAATATTTCATGTTGCAGGTAGCCCAAGAAATTAAGTCTGAAGCAAAATATCAGAATGATTTTATTAACCAACTGGTATGCCATGAACTTTTTCTCCTTTTCTTCCAAGTATATTTGATATTCTGTAAGTCCTTTTTAGTCACTTTTCCATATATTTATATACCTTAACAATCAAGTTTTTGTATATTGGAGCTTGTTTGGTATTTATGTTCGTAACACTGGATAACAATCTAACACTCTCTCTCCCTCTATAGTTGCTGGGAATTGTAATTGTTATTACTGTAAATATTTTGGGAATGACAGTGTACTCGTAGCCTTTGTTTGTCTTACCTACTGCCATGCCAACCTGCCTGAATGTCTCTGTCTCTCTATGCTTTTCTTATAGGTCTTCTAGTGATTTGAAAGATACATCCTTGTTAGATCTAATAATAAGCCCAAACTTGATTCCATTTTTCTCTTTTTTCTTTGTTCTTAAGGGTACTTTGTGCGGGGATATGTTGGACTATACACTGCATATTTTCAACTGATTGTAAATTTGAATGGTGTATTTCTAATAGTTATCCCATTCAGCAAATTGCTGCAATAGATTGCTTCAGGCCGTTAGAAGTAGTAAACTTTCCTAGAGTTAGTGTGGTATTGTTTATAAATGTGTTGGTTGGTCGGTCTATCTGAGATTCTCATGATTATGGAATCATTCTTGTAAGTTATATAACTTCCCTATTTCCTTCAAAGCTCACACTTTTCCCATTATAACAGCAAATGACATTGATCAAAGCTCAAGCAGGGGTGAAGAACAATATGAGACGGTTGAACAGGAGTATCATCCAGGAAGGATCAAACCATGTGATGCATGTTATTCTTTTTGCACTATTTTGCTTTTTTGTGATATATTTGCTGTCCAAGTTTTCACGGAGATAAGGGCGATCTTCTGCGCTGTTTTGCTGTTTTTGGTGCAAGTCTTGATGAAGATGAGAGATACACATCTATTCAAGGCATCATACAAATTGCAATGGTTAATTTTTTGTGATTGGGGACAGCAAGGGTGCAACTGTAGAAACTCCACATATTAGTCTTGTGTAAAGTTTTCTAATCTTTAGAAGCACTGAGGATTGTTATTAGTTTCTGGTTCTCTTTTCACTTTTGTTTTTCTTTTTAATACTTCCTATATGACAAATGACAATGATCATTATGTGCTTATCCTAGGAAAAAATTGATTATTGCCGATGGAAGATGCTCTATACTTCATTTGTTTAAACAGCAGAGCCTGTTTTGGAGAAAATGATGTTCGGCAAACAGTGTATATATTTGATTTTAACTCTTACAAAGTCCACCCTTAATTACAATATTCAATGATTTAATAGAAGGCTAGCATACACATGCTTTTGAATCATTCTGTTGCTTTTTTGCTTGATCAGCAGAGGCTTGCTCCACCTTGCTTAACCTAACTTGATCAATGACTCTTCTAGCCCATTCAATGACTCTTCTTTCGTTGTGTCCAACCATCCCATCTTTATGATAACTTTATGGGCATCATTATCAACCTACGTTCCACTCTAGCAGTCCACATCACAAAAAAGGGAAAAAAATATCATCTTGCAGAAAAAATCTAACGTGCAGCAGCATTAACTTTTTAGTAATAACAGATATGGTAAAAGTAGATAAATTATTTAATATAAGCTTAATACATAATTTACGGACTAAAGGGATGAGCGTAAGATGTCATGCCATGAAATAGGAAATACGTCTTATGTAAAGATAACTCAATGCACCTCAACATTGTCGACACCTATCGCAGAGCAAATTTCTTTCCCATATGTAACACAAGTTAGTTGTACTCAAGTACCTGTTTTCAAGAGAATAGATTTGAACACTGGAATAGCCACTGCACAGGCATTAAGTAGGAAAACATGTGCGAGCTACTATGCAGCAAAATTTACTAGTAACATCCCTAGTAATACAACATAGTTCTGCATCGGAGAACAGAGAATATACATAGTAGGTGCGATATAGAATGTACAATAGAGAAGAAAAGTTCCAACTCAGTTATCCTGTTTCTTGTCAGCCACATCAAAACCTTCCGCAGAATGGTACATGGACAGGAAAAATGCACTTTGATTCTTCTGCAGGAATCTGCAAGGAAGGAAGATTAGTTATTGGCGGGAATGTAACTACATTCAAAATGAGCAACAAACTTCCATTATCAGAAGGCAATTGCAAAATAATAGTTCTTAGTTTAGGAAAGAATTAGACTTGTACTACTGGCTATGGAGTAAGGAGATTTCTGCACAAGATAACATAATAATCATGGTAATCCATTTGATAGCAAGAATAAAGTTACCGAGGGGAGTTTCAGCTAAAGATTGATCTTCCTTCTTTTAAGGGGCATCTACATACTAAGGAGTTTCTTGATTGGATTGATAGAGTTGATAGAATCTTCAATTACATTGAAATCCCGGAGGATAAGAAGGTACAACTGAAAGCCTATAAATTAGAAGGGGAACATTGAATGGTAGGAACAAGGACAAAATATGATGCATAGCCAAGAGAATCATCCTGTTCACCATTGGTCAAAAGATGAAAATGGTTTCTTCTGCTCAGCTATGACCACTATTTGTTGTAGCAGTACCAAAGTAGGAACTATGATTGTGCGTCTGGACTCTGGTAGGGATAGAATCGAAAGTCACTCACAAATTGCCCATCAATCACACTAATTCCTCAATCCTAAATAACAAGTTCTTAAATAACCAACCGGGAAGCTGAACTGAATATTTAGGAGGACATGGAAGATGATTAATCATTTTTTTAATATATAAATGGAAGATGATCAATACTATGAATCTGTGATATCATGGGTTATTCAATGGGGATTCTAAGTATGAATATTAATCCGCCCATATTGATGCCTTGCCTGCTGATGGTAGCCTTGAAGATGAGAAATCGGTATTTAAGGTCTTAATTTACAACCTAATGATTTCAATTAATATGCCTCTACCTTCTTTTTACCGAAAGGGGCTATATGTGTCCCTGTACTATCAAATATTAGTTATATGTACGGTCCATTATACTATTCGACACTATCTACCCCTAGCGTTACCCATTTAAACATATCTACCCCTCCATCTAACGGACCCATTCTTGGTGGACACGTGGCAGCATTTTAAACACCCTAACCCATTTTCTCACTAATACCCAAACCCACCCGAAAAGACCCGAACCGATTTAACACCCCATTACCCGAAACTCGTTTCTAACTCTTTTTTCTCTCAATGGCGGCCTCTTCCTCCACCTGACTATCGATCACTTCAGGATCTCTCTCCTCAGCTGCCTTCTCATCATCTTCTCCTCTTTCCTTGTCTTCATCAACAATATTCTCTTCTTGATCAACCTCTACATCAAACTTTTCTTGATCGTGATCATCGACCTCGTCTTCTCCCTCTTCTTTGTGTTCATCATTCTTCTCTTTAGTCTTGCTCTCCTCTTCTAGATCCTCTTCCTCAGATTTATTCCCTTTTTCATCTACCACTGATTCCTCTTCTGGTTCCTCTCTATGCTTCTCATTAACTGTATCCAATCCCTCAATTACACTAATTCCTCAATCCTAAATAACAAGATCTTAAATAACCTCCCGGGAAGCTGAATTGAATATTTAGAACATGGAAAATGATTAAACATTTTTTTTTTGTATAAATGGAAGATGATCAATACTATGAATCTATGATATCATGAGTTAATTTAATGTGGGTTCTAAGTATGATGATTGATCCTCCCATATTGATGTCTTGCCTGCTGATGATGGCCTTGAAGATGAGAAATTGGTATTTAAAGTCTTAATTTACAAACTAATGATTTCAATTAATAAGCCTCTACCTTCTTTTTGTGAAGAGGTGGCTTTTATTTGGAAGAATTTCTTAGCAAAGAGATCTAACACGGATATGACAATTCTACTAAGAATAGCAACTCAAATGTCCACTTTTGCCATTTGTCTTGAGTTATGTTCAAATCAACTATCCTTGGAACTCCATGAATATAAAGAAGCATCGAGAAAATTACATGGATTCACAATTAATCACAGAAAGCCAAACTAAGGACAAAATTTTATTTTTTCAACCCGAAGAGACTAGACGAGACAGCAAAGGGGGCAAAACAATTTATTATAGTAATGTTTAATTATAATTCATTCTATTAATTCTAAGGTAATACAACTGTAGTTTCCAAGTTATTAGATGGAGTACTCTTTTCTTTTCTTTCCCTTCATAAGTTTTTTATTGACAAGATTAAGTACTTAGTTTAGGTTTAAGGTTGCCATTATATATTCTCCTACGCTCATTATTTTAGGTGGACATACACACTTCTCAAATTCTTTGCAAGTATTCCAACGGGATAAAATCAAGTTAAGAAAATCTGTGTCACCACGTCAGAAACATAAGATATCTAAACCTGAGAAAGTCTTGTAACTTCTGCCTTAACTCTGTTAATGTTTCATCTTCAATACTTGCGTAGAACAGAATCTCTGGCAACTTAACTGCAGATAACAAGAGAAGTGGCTGTTAAGGGTATGTAACGATGTTGGATGTGAAAGTCAAGTTTAAACAAACATTAACTTCACAATCATGAAGTGACATTGAAAGCTCAGAAAAACCATTCACAAGCATCTGTATCACTCACTTAACACATATAATATAATAAGGCTGCAAAAGCTTTTACTACTCTGCGCCTCAGCAACACTGAATTTTGATGCAAAAAGTCTAAAAAAAATTATTTTACACCTTGACATAGGATTTAGTCTTCATTACTTATGGCTTCAGTATAGCCAAATAATTAATCTACAAATATTCATGGCTACTTCATGTAATTTACTACACAAGGTATTAGATTAAAGCAGAAGGTTTCCTTGACCTCAGAAACTGGATGATTGTTGTATAGCCAGATGGAACAAAGTCAGCAAACACAAAATTTTAGCTCATTCCACACCCACAAATGAGGACTTTGAAGTCAACGAATATAGGTAGCTAAGTTTCAAACATAAACACGAAGCTAAACTGTCACATGAAACATCAACTGCTTGAGAATTTGATAAAAATGCACATACCAAAAAGCCGTAATAAATGCTCAGCTCCATATATAGAGGAAGGAGCGGCATCATCTCTAATTGATTCTTGGTATTGTTCCCGCTCGTTCTTGTAAAGGAGCATAGCAGGCAGTGCTTTGTCGAAGTAGCATTGCAAACCACTAAGAATCTCTCCAACAGAATCAGATATCCTTCACCCAAGATCAATTAAGGTAAATTCAATTTACTAGTTATTAAGCTTGTAATAGTGATGAACAGAACCATTGTTACTCAATAGATCAATATATTAAAACTCCATAAGAATTATCAGATTCTTGCATCTTCAGAAGATAAATGAAAGATATGAAGCTGATAACGCAAGGTATATCTGCAATATATTCCTAAGAGTTCGGTATCAACAAAAATCAACTAGGGATAAGTTTGCAGTCCAACTCACAGATCGACTAAGAAGATTCTTTGCAACAGCGAAAGCATTTTTATTGATAACAATCAAGTTAAAAGAACAATACATAAAACAGTGGCCCTTTTTCTACTATTATTATCAACAGGATAGAGATTCTAAAAGGGTAAAATATAATGAAATTAAAGGAAATAGCATAGACAACATATCAATTAGTTAGAGAAACATTCAAGTTGACGTAAATGATAGAGAGCTTACACTCCATCCTTTTTCAGCCGATAGTCATGATACTTCTTTAGTATTTCATCTACATTTGGAGAACGTGGAAGTTTGACGAGCTGCAAAATTATATTCCCTCAACTCAATCAACTTAAGAGGATAGAGACATGTTAATTGTCCCCCCCACCGCACCCCACAAAAAAAGGAAGAACCAGACACATCAGATTCACAAAATTTGAACAGAAAAGAAAGCACTGTATATGTTATTCACGAAGTGAAGTCAAGTAGGTTAATAGCATCTTCTTTTAGGTTTCAGTAATATTTGTTTTTAGAATAAGACATCCTTTTCACCAGAATGAGAGTTCTGAGAAGGATCAAATAGGATATTTCTCCTTCTCCTGGTCATGTCAACTAAGTTAAATATCTAACTATTTCAGTATAAACTTAGATGAAGTGCTCAGATTTATGTTGCAGTCCTACAAAAACTCTTTTGATAACGTCAATTACACGTCAACTATCTCATTCAGCCCCAACTTGCAAGAATAAAAGAGGTGACAATGGAAATAAATGCTAGCAGTGCAGTCATATCAAAAACATTGTTATTCACATTTATATGTATAATTAATCCTTTAGCCACAGCGTATCAGTTGAATCACAATGAAGTTGGGAAAAGTTTGTTTAATGACCATCTGCCACTTTCATTCCACAAGACATGACCTACTTTGACTAACATACACTGTGACTAAGATGTTTGAATAAGTCATTACACACTTTGAAATAGGGAGATGTTCAGAATTTTAATTATATGAAAGTAGAGTTCTAACTAAAGAGGTTTCACGTCAATTCTGAAGTAACAAAGTAGAATCAATCTATTACTTGTATTGTTGGAGAGAGAAAAACGATCATCAAATTAGCTTGAATCATTGGAGGGAGAATTAAATTTAGCATTTATTGAAAGAGATCAGGTGTTTTGCATGAACAAAAAGAAAGTAACTCAAAGTCGCAAAGTATTTTGGAGATAAGAGGGTGTAATCACTAATCCCTCTTTGTTCATGGACAGTGATTCAACATTCATTTTCACATCAAGCAATTCATTGGAGATTAAGAAAGCGATGTACACCTTCGTCTAGATTATGAATTGACTCAAGGCCCACAACAAAGGAAAATTACATATGAGTTTAATAAACAGCAGTTCATAGAGTAAACCCCAAATGCTCGATGTTCTAACTTAAAAAAAGAAGGAAAGAAAGAACTCCCAGTCTACACCAAACTAATTACAAGTACAAAGAAACAAAAGAGAGTAGGATTGAGAATATGGAGATATTTCAAGGAAAAGTAATCAAGCAAACATGGCATAGCAAATATCCTGTCAACAAATTTAGGAGACAGCTAAGAAGTTGGAGCATTTAGCATGTCTTTACCTTGCCCAAGTGGTTGACAAATTCACAATCATCAATCAGCTGTTTCTTTAATTGTGGTGGTATTTGGATATTGACAAGCTTTTCTGGAGGAGGAGCATACTTGTCCTGGAAAACAACAAGATTATAATCTAAATGAACATCTAAATTGATAAAGAAAATACAACAAAGAGACCTATCGGGATAAAGGAAACCAAAGCTAAACAAACTCTTGCTTTTATAAAATGAAACAAGAATTACTTGCAAACCAGCATTATACAACCAAGTGTCGTTGACCAAGGAAATTTTGATAGCACGGAAGTAATGGGGATCAAGAAAAACGAGGCCTTCCTTCAAGAGATTACTCAATCCATAATCATTTAAAGATGACCTTTGAGAATTTATCAATACATGAAGTAACTAATTAGCTTCTAAACCATGTAATCTTTATCATTAGCTACCCATCTCCGCAAAGTTGCATCATTTCATTTGAGATCAACAACAAAACAATGCTTTTTAAAAATATTTAAATGCATTCAAATTTTTAATATAGATCTTCATCCAATGATATCAACTATGGCCAATTGGAGCCACAGACACCGAATAACCTTAACTTACTGGGTCCTAGTGTAGCAATCAATGCGAATGTGCTGCTCCCAAACAGCATTAAGTGTGACTAAAATATCAGATGTGACATCCTTTTCAATATGTAAGTTTAACTTTCATTTTTTTAATCAGATACAAACAAGTAAGAGTATAACTTCTAAGTCGATTATTAAGAAGTGTTAAAAGACTAGACAAGATAAATGAACATTTTTTCACAGAAAAAGTATAGTTAAAAAGGACTCTCGCTTCATTATTGCAACCTTCATTTGTGTTAGGCAATAGAATGTCAGTACTACAGTGGAAAAGAAACCTGAATAGAGATACAGAAAGAAAAATAAGCATCTGATCCTTAGAACAGAAAAGGCAAACTAGACCAGAAATGTACCTTCTGCGGAACATCACTCTTTCGCTTTCTGCCTCTTCCCCCTGTAATCAATCGAAAACTGAATGCATTCAAGTAATTCTAAAGTTCATTCCCGTGTTAAGAAGGAAATAGATAACCATTTAAGAAGCATGGGGAAAAATAAGATAACAGCAGAAAAAAGCATGTATTCCTGGAAAATCCCATCAAGCACATCATAATAGGGAATATTTCAAACCACAGGTGGTTAAACATGTGCAAATGAATTAACACCTGGAGAATGAAAAGAATGCTTTTGTCAACCTAAAGAATCTATTTTTCTTCAAAACCCAACAGGTGGGCTCTTCTAATCGCACAAAAAATGAAGTAACTTAACATGTCCGCCACGAAAAGAGGAGGGGAGGGGTAGAAAAGAATCACCCTATAGCTAATTCAGTAGAGTACAAGTGATCTAACCTGTATAGCCTTTTGTTTTCATTTGTGATCCACGTCCACCCTTTGAACTCTTATCTGTATCCTGTTTTTTCTTAAGCTCCTGCTGCTTCTGAATATTCTCTTCTGTGAGTTTCATCAGTCGATCTATGCCCACCCATTCATCCCAGCTGTTAAAAAGTGAAAGAGAAATAAAGATATATGTGTTCCTTGAGAAATGCATAGAAAGTAAATCAAATAAACCAATCTATGGGTGACCAAGTAATAAACCAAGATTTCTACTTGCAGTCACCAATACCAAACCAATAATCAGACAGCATTGACCTAGAATACAGGCTAGAAGCATACAAAAAATTCTGATTTCAGTAAACTTATTTAAGAAAGGAGGGAACATTAGAAGCAGGTCAACAGTTTATAAAGAATGAACCTGAGTCAGTTGAATGGAAGGTGAACTAGAATGAGGGGAGGTTTTAGACTACGCAATTGACTTTAAAGAACCATATGTTATGGAACTTATCAGATAATCAAATGCACGTCAATTTGAAAATTCGCCGCCAGCAAGAATTTTATTTAGAACAAATTAAACTTCTGCTTGAGGAAAAACTTGACAATGATGTACTCACTTTTTGTTCCAACCCTGAAAAAGGAAAAAGAAGCATGGTTATAGCACATATCTAACAATCACCTTCTTTCACTCCCATGCAACGCATTCATATCCATGAGGAAGTACTCTCTACCAACTAAACAGAAGATGGATGACAACAATGTTTTACTGTAAAATAAATGGAGCTTTTAAAAAGTTATAGAGTTAGGGAAACTGATACTTACAAGATAATGAACAAAATATCTCCACTCCCTCATTTGAAACTCAGCTTTTTGAATCTTCCCACCCAAAAAAAGAAAAATTAAAATGCAGTAGATGAGTACAAAATTCATGGTTAAAATGGCATTAACCATAAGATCAACTAATCTAACTGGTAAAACAAATTATTATAGACTGGAATTTAAACCACGAAGAAACAAAAATCATCTGGAAAGGTTAAATTTTGATACCAGCAATGTGGTTCATGAACCAAACCCCTTCTCAGTCCACGTGATCAACGACTTATCCTATAAATAAATAAGTGTCTACTTCACAAGTATATTTTATTTTCTCACCAATTTTCTCTTTGCTACAATATAATTTATGGTGTCATTTGATCTAAAGAGTTGTATGATATTAGGCAATTTTCTTCAAGGGACGAGTCCATAGGGTACAAAAGAGTCAAAATTGATTCTGAAATAAATGATTCAAGATGCAGATGACAAGAGGTTGTTGACGTAGCAGATTGATGCAAAACTGGATTCAGCAATTTTTAAAATATCAAATTACCTTTCCAACACATCCACAAAATGAGTGTTGCAGAGATGTGGATGTCAAGATGGCGTGCTGCCATACAAGGCTAGACAAACACATTTGTGATTTAAGGTTCAAGTAGCACACATCAAGGATAAAATGAGACGAGGTCGCTTGAGATTTGTTCGGTCATGTCCTACGTCGACCGCCAGATGCACCGGTCTTAGTGGAGGTGTTATAACGGGGGGGACGAGATAGCCCTAAAATCACCCGGAAAAAAGTTGTTTCGAAGGACCTACAATCTCTTGGGATCCAATAGAATAAAAAGATCTATATGAGCAATACCTAGTAGTTGAGAATATGTTCTAATCATGTTATCACTTTTACCTTACATCCTATGCTTTCTAGAGATTTTGAACTCTAAGGGGTTGTTTGGTTGGGAAACAAGTTGTCCCGTGATTAATTATCCCAGAATTAGTAATCCACCCTTCCATGGGGATAAAAAAAATACTATGATCCCATGGGATTAGTTATACCACGATTTTATCCCAACCAAACGTAGGATAAACTCATCTCAAATTTAATCCCAGGATTAATTATCCCTTATCTCTCGTACCAAACGAGCCCTAAGGGTCTATTGGTATATCTTCCTTAATCATATCCCATGTGATCTTCTATCTCTCTCTTGTAACCTTATATTTATATCTTATAATCTTATACCTTATAAAGCCTTCTCACAATCCCACTCAATCAAATTTCTTATTTAAATCATTAGTTGAAAAAAAGAAGGGGAGTCTTGGCGTGACCGGTAAAATTGATGTCATGTGACTAGGAGGTCACGGGTTCGAGCAGTGAAAATGTAGGGTAAGACTGCGTACAATAAATACTTGTGGTACGGCCCTTCTCCGACCTCGTGCACAGCGGGAGCTTAGTGCACCGGGCTGCCCTCTTTAGTTGAAAAAATAACAATCTACCCTTAGATAGGAACAAAATTAAAAACATACAAGTCAAAACAAAATCCATGTTTATTTTATTTTTACCCAAATGCAAAAATTGCTCAAAGTAAGAAAAGGTAGGAGGAGTGTGTACCTTAGCTTCATAAAGTTGTTGGCTATGAAAGGCGAGTACTTTTTCACCTTCTTGAAAACGACTGGAGTCAACCACGTCAATGTCAGTATCATGAGTGGTGCCACCAACTTCATCAGAGATGGTTGTGGAATTGTCCGATACCCCAGCATTTGAGCTCCCCATTTTCTTTGATTTTCTGTAGAATAATAGTGCCAATGAATCAAAAGGGTTTATTGTAAATAAGAAGCTCAACCGATCAATTTGTATAAAGAGTTGAGGTTCTTACCCGCTTCTTTTAGTTGTGGGTTATCAGAAATCTAGAAAGGGCGGGAGGGAGGGAAGGGAAGGAGGGAGAGGAA